GGCATCGCCACCGCTCCCCCCGCCCCACTCTCGCGAGAGTTCGGTGCGGGCGAGCGCGGTCCCGGCGGCGGGCTGGGAGACGGTCGTCGCGGTCCGCGTTGGGAGCGGTACCCGCCGCCCTGTGTTAGCCCCCGTCGCTGGCCGGCTGGGCAGCAGGGGCCGCGTCACAGGTTTGTGCCGCAGTGCCCCGGCCTAGCGAGCGCAGGGTGGGGGTTGCCGCCGTCCCGGGGACGCCTGGGGTGCGCGGTGGCAGGAGCTGTGCCACGGCTTCCCCGCGCCTGCTGGGGGCTTGGGCTGTGCGGGGAGAACAGACGTGTTTCCTCTGTTACACGTAAACCTTCGTCCTTCGGGTCAGGGAACACAAGCAGCATAAAACTTTGCAATAAAGTAAATGCAGTGTTTACAAATCCTATGTATTTATGTCAACAAGGAACACCTTCTGTCCTAATTCCTATTAGCTGCAGTACCTACAACCTAGCCCAAAAAGAGTAGCTGATCCTGGTTGATGCTCGTCCTCCTGTACAGCTGAGACAGGGGGTGCAGAGCGCAAGCGTATGGCCACAGTGCACCCCAACACTGGCTTTTCACGGTCCGTACTGCGGCAAGATGGCCATCAGTCAGCCAGTCACAAGTCTGGCTTAGACCTGTCCTGCGTCCGTAAGTGCCAGATGGGCCCAAATGCTCCTACATTTTGACTTTAGAAACTGCGAATGTACGGCAGGTTGGTCAGGCTGCTGCACCTCTGTGCAGGGCTCTGTGAGCGTGCATGCTAAGCTGATGCTGCAAGCGTTGGGCTACTCATGCACATCCCATGCACATGTTTGTACTTGCACAGTGTGTCTTATGCTTCCTGGTCATCTGTGCAGTAAGTCCAATCTCTCTGGAGAACTCATAGGCATGTGTCTCTCTTGCCTGGGAAATTTGTCTGGGCAGGAATTGGGAAACCAATGTCTGCTGAATCACTGTGACCTATTTGCAGAACTCAAACGACAGCCTGTGATTTGATTTAATTTGACCCCTGCCCACACCTCCTTCAAAATTTCAAAATACAGTTTGAGGAGGTGTAAGAAGGCAGCTCTGATGGGCTACACGTGCGCCATGACCTGACAGACACACCAGGGGATACATCTGCCTGGGCCTTCTGTGCCTGTAAGGCAGAAGGATACATTTCTCAGTCTTCCTGTTCTTCCTGTATAGTACCATAGGCACATTCTGTAGAGTTTTACTAGCCCTTTCATGGGCAGCAGATGTTCTGCTCAGTAATCTGATTTCTAGTTGCATGTTACATTCTGGTGATTACTCTGTCATTGTAGTCTCAAGGCTACAATAATTAGATTTCATAATTTTTCACAGCATTCTTTTTGTCTACAGTAGGTAGAAGGGGATGTGGGAGGTTGCACTGAGCTTTAGGTATCATTGCCAGCACCACATCAGGGCTGCAAACACCACAGTTCACGTATAGTGTGAATCCTTCTTCCTTGGCGTCGTCTCTAAGAGGAGACTACCCCCTGAATTTCTAGCTTCCTTGCCATAGTTCTTCACCATTTCTGGTGCCTGCACGGCTGACTCCCAAATGATCTAGCTTCCAGAGCAATGCCTCTGCACAAGACCTAGAGAAGTGCCTGGAGTCCAGAGCCTGGGCAGAGATCACCCAAGGCCCGGGAAAGGAAGGGTTAACCTCTTTGCTGGCCAGTGCCAAATTTGTTTTGGAGCTCTGCAGCTTGCCTCCTGGTGCCAGCCTCAGCTCCTGATGACCAGCCTGGTGTTGGTGCCAGTGGTTCTCCATTCCTGACTGAGGGGATCAGAGAGTGAAGGAAGGCAGAAAGTGAAGAAGACCAGACCTATGTGTTGCTTTCCTAGAACAAGGTCAGTGGCTAAAGAAAGGACTGAAAGCCCAACAGAAAGGGGAATATAGACAGGACTTCAGCAATAACTCTGATGTTAGAGGTCAGAGTCACCTAAGCAAACTAGCCAGCCAGACTCCTCCAGCTTCCTCTGTTGTCCATGAAGGCAGGTTCTCTCAAAGAACAGTCCAGAGCACTAAATTTTGGATCTGCTTGGGTTTGCTCTCTGGAAGACCTGCTTTTCCCCCCATCAGTTAAAGAGGGACCAGTGGAGAGTTCCTTGGCTAAAATAGTAGTCCAAGTTGGTTGAGTGTGAATATCCATCCCCAGGATTTCTGTGAATTACAGGCAGGCATGACTGCCCAGCGTCCTGCCTTGCCCAAAGTAAGTCACAAAGGTGACATGCTGTCACAGGAGGGACTGTGGGTGGTAGGCATACTCTCTTACTGAGCAGAAGAGAGAAAGTTTGAACCTGCCTCTTAGACTAGTGACATGTTACTATGCACTTGTGATCTGTGTAATCACGGAACTCGTCATAGCTCCACGAATAGTCTCCAGGACTAAACACTGATGGGATTTTTGCTGTTTGCTGCCACAAGACAAATGCTGAGTGATCTCTATATCAGCAATACGTGTTACAGTTGTGTCAATTTGTACTTGAAATCGAGGATCACTTGCTTCTTAACACGTGGAAAAGTTACTACTTCCCTGCAATAATCACATTCCACATGTGATTATACAACCCCCTCTAGAGTCAAACCCTGCAT